ATATCACACCTCTGCTGAAGTTTCAGGTTCAAAGTAAGTTGTGTAAACTAAAGGGAGCTCTTTACCCAGAGCAGTGCTATGCAGGTCATTTGAAATATCTGTCAGTTTAAAATTTATTATTCACTGCAAGTCCTGTGGTCAACAACACAATGGTCATGTACTGATATTAACATTTTCTACATTGGCTGTTGAATATTTTGCCAAAAACAGTCTCCACAGCACTTCCTCGTGTCGACTCGTGATGACTGTGACAACTGAATCCAGAATAACCTAGCATGTAGTTGTATCCTAGATCATCTATAGTGAGATGTTTTGACTGCGATAAGTAAATTGTAACAACATTTTAAAATACAAGCAGATGCACTATATTGAACACTTGCAGTGGCTCTTAAAACTTGGGATTGCCATGCAGCTTTCTAAGTAGTCACTTGCATTATATCATAATGTATTCTGTTTTGGTCTATTCTATTCTAAATTTGATATCCTAAACAGCACCATGCTGTAGCTTTCCTTGTTTGATCACTACAGTGTAAGTGGATAAATTTAGTTATTGGGAAATATAGCAAAGTTAATTCCAAGCCCATAGTCTTTTAACATACCAGCTGGTAATTCAGCATTTGCTTCAAACACATTGGCTGGTTCTGGGTTGACAATTATGCGTAGCTATACACATGAAACACTTATTATTTATTGATGTATAGTCTCTCACTACTACCAACATTCAAAGGAAAACAGGCATAAAGAAGTGGGAGATCAAAGATAATCAGCCATAGATGACTGAACAATAACATCCGATCCAAGAATAGTAAATTTCTGTTGAGATAACAATTCAAGACAGGCAGTGATCTTGAAAGTGAAAATTCACTCTAAATTAAATGATATCTTTAATGGACTAGCATCCAAAGCAGGATCCAAAACTGGTAACCCGAAAACACTGACCCCCGGTCCGCGGACCCCACTACGGACCGGGTCCGCGGACTCCCTATGGACCGGTCCACGGACTCCCTCTACGGACCCCCTCTACGGACCACCCCCCAAAATATAATAAAAATAATAAATAAATATTTCAGTCACGGGTTGTCTAATAGATTATTCGTGATGGTGAAATTTCGAACGTTACATTGTGCAAATGTATCAGACCTGTATTCAGGCTCGGGTGCAATTTAAATCATTACACATTGCCATTTCTTTTGCTGTGGCCATAAAGTATACGAAAGTCGCGTACAGGGAAGCCTCCGGGAAGCCTCGAAATTTTTGTTCTTTCCCCTCTGCCATTTTGTTCAGCCCATTTTCCCGTGGGTTCATGAACACGTTCCAGGCTTCACAATTTGCTCAGCGGAATAACAGATACAAACAACAATCAACGACCTAAAAATATATCTTCCATAGCATGATTGAGCCACGAATGGAAGGTAAGAACTTTCCTTCTTACTATCGGCATCTCCTTACGCTGAAAAAAGCTTTTAGGCATTTTT